CCAATTCCATCGATATAAAGAAAATGCCCATACCAACTGTCATGCATGTATTTACATATTAAAAATGTCCAGAAAACCCCTCTATTACTAATATTATCTCTTTACTTGTCTAGCTTAATGCTCCACTTACTGCAACATATATATATATATATATATGTTATATAATAGAACAAGGCAAAAATTAAAACTAGAACTGGGAAGAAAAGGACTGTTGGTGACAAACACCCCTGCACTGAACAATATCATTCCATTCATATATATATATATATATATATATATGTAAAATGTACATATATATAAACATGTATGTATTGAGTATGGCTGGCAAATGGCGAACGTATATATAATTATGGATGGTATGGATGAAAGATCATCTTAACATGCATGCTTGTCTCCTTCCACTGTCTGCATATATATATATAGAGAGAGAGAGAGAGATAGAGAGAGACAGAGCGTTAAGCTTCCAAGAATTTGACTTACTTCTCTGTTATTAAAACACACCTACAAGACCACTGTCATAATTTCTATAAGCTGTCTGACAAAAAACAGTTCATGCATCCGCCTCTCCTCAACTTTATATATCTTCGATAACTATAATAATTCAAAAAAAAAATTAATTTTTTATTTAAAAATAATAATAATAATAATATGTTTAATCATTTTCCACACGTCAAGATTGAATTTAAGACTAAATTCTCACTAACTCATAATTAATAAGAACGAATTAAACTGATTTGTGAAGGGTAATATATATATATATATATATATATATTACAAATTTATTTGAATTAACTAAAATATATATGTATAAATAAATAAATCCTATACATATAATAAATAAGTGGTCCTCTTTCTTTTTGTTGTTTCTCATGTGCTGCATTCTTTTCGTTCTTTGACCACTATCACGATAACGTCTTAGACTCCAACTCTATAGTTTCCACAAAATTCATTATCATTGATTCTTTTTTATTTGCAAGTTATATATATTTATGTAAAGACCACACTGTTTTAATTAGTTTGGGAAAATGAACGTGAGAATTTGAGACTTAATTTCAGACATCGCATGTCAGGTAAATGTTCCTTTTATTTTCAACTTACGGAAGCTAGTGGCACCACATAAAATTGCTATATTTAGTTTCTATACATTACATTTTTTTAACGTCAAAATACATGTATATGGTTGTGTCTTGTCGATATATCATAGATATGTATGTGTCAGGCTTTTTTTGTTCAACATATATATATATATATATATATACAAACACACACATACTGACATCCAACTCATCAAAAATCCAATTTGAACAACTTGGCCTTATAACTTATCACATCAAAAATCCAATAGGCTCTGTACATAGATTATAATATATATGTATATCTTTAATTAGTTTGGAGAGCCAATTTATTTGTCATTTTTCTAAAGACAGTTTCAACATCCATGGCTGCCCCAGATATACTGTGGGCTAACACCATACTTTATATATGTATACATACCTCCCCCTCTTTAATTTATTTCTCTCTTTTTCTTAAAAATAAATTATTTAATTTGGGATTTATTCACTTTTTGAGCATCGCTTTTGTCTCAACGCCCATACATAAATCATGGGTCTTCCTTCAACCTTTTTATTATTTTATATCTGCTGGGTAGCTACGCAAAGACAATGATCAATATGCATACATAAGAATAATTGTATGCATATATACCCCACCAGAATATTTCGTATAGATTTGCGA